ATTTTCCAGATGAATAACAAGATAAAGCAGAAGGTAAATTTCTTGTTAATACTTCATCCTTGCCCAAAGGGCTCTCTCAAGAACCAGGGGATCTTTACTGGGTGGGAAGGAGGGCATCAAGCCTGGAGAGAGGAGAGTTTAAAAAGCAACCAAGCCAGCAAGGGCTGAAGATCAGCTGGGTTAAACTTCACCAGGCCTGGGAGCAGGAACTCCCATGGGCAGGGGTGGCAGTTGGATGCAGGTGGGGCAGGGAAATCCCACCCCTTGTGTCACTGTCACTTCCCCAATGCCTGGACATGGGCCAGCTCTTCAGAAACCATCCAGGCCAAACAATGGAGGCGTTTCCCAGTTGAGGCTTGCAGGAAGAGATTGTGAGTTTAGCAGAAATGGTTTGGCAGCCTGGGGAGCCCCTTTGGTGCTGGGATTCGCTAGCCCAGCACTCAACCACAGGGGCTGCACACAATCCATAGGATCTCTGTCTCCTGTGCAAGGCATAGCAGAACACAGCAGTTCACCTCGGTGTCACCAGTGTTTATTCAGGCCAGGATTTTAGGACACAAACACAGCAGCTGCCAGTGGGCTGGCACCAGGGCTGGCACTTGCTCTAACTGAGCAGGTTTGCTCTTTTCTTCCCTGACAAGGCTCCTATAGCACAAAGCTGCTGCAGGCTTGGGAGCATGGAGAGTCCTCTGAAATACTCCTCACAGCTAAGGAGAATTAGCTATTCATTAAGGAAGAAATTAAATGACTGACATATTGTCATTTTAGGACCTTAACAACAGTCTGCTGAACCCAACAGAGACTGACACTGTCCTGAGGAGCTCTGGGACCACAGCTGGCAGAGAGGGAACCCCAAGAGCCCAACAGCAGGAGCTGCTGCCCCAGCCAGAGGGGTCTGTGAGCAGCTCTCAGGCTGTGTCTATGAGGTTTGAATAGGGATACACCTAACTCAGATTTAGAAAACTTTAACCCGCTTTATTTGTAACTGCTTCATCTAACATGCTGGTGAAGGAGCCCCTGACACCAGAGCAAGGAGGGCAGTGACTGGCACAAACAAATGGGATATAAGTGGGAATTGGCCTTACTTTTCTGAGCAGGCAAACTGCAACACAGGAGGTAAGGTCAAAACTTTTAGAGCTGGTGCTTTCCACATTATCAGTAAAATACTTAGCTAAGGAGGGAAAAACACTGCTGCTTATCTGCTCCACCCCTCCACTCAGCTTGTTTCCCTTTCCCTGAAATGTTTGAAAATAAATGAGCCAGTGTGGTTTCAGCAGAGTGCTTCAGATATTAAACAATCTGCTGCTCACAGCTAATAAGGAAGAAGCCTGGCCAAAAAACCCTGTTTATTGACTGAGCCCTGCCCTCCTGGAGCCAGGAGGGAGCAGCACTGAACAGAAATCTTGAGAAATGTTGGGAAATGTTGGGAATTGTGCAAATCAGGACAGTTCTGCCCTTTAGCAAAACCCTGTTGCCCTTACAATTGAGGAAAAGACTACTTTAACGTGCTTTGAAGTACCCCATGAATCTGAAGTTTTGTTTGCCCTGGGTGTAGAGAGTTTCAGTTCTGTTTTCTCTCTGGTCTACCTTGAGCAGATGAAACAAGTCCAGCTGGGCAAGGTTGCCTGGTTTATTCGCTCTTTTACAGCCTTTATCAGGACTAACAAGAAATGAAAAAAAACCCTTGCAAACAGCACAGAGCCAGAGGTATCTTGCTCCTGGCACTACCATTTTTTAAAAAAACCTCTTCTCCCCCTAAATACCTGTAATTTCAGGGTTTTTTTGTAGCTGGGACTGAATGTCTCAGGCATTTAGCATGCTTGCATGCAGCACAGCATTCAGGGCTGGAAATGCAGACCCTGGGTAAGGAAAATGTCTCCTTTCTCCAGCCTGGTCTGTTTTAACTCTGCAGAGGTGCCAGCCTGTCTGTGTTCCATCACCTCACTGGAGAGATGTCATGCAGACATGTCACCACTCAGTTGGACTTGTCCAGATTTGTCTTTCTTTCTTTCTCAGCCTGTTATTTTTCCTGTCCTTGTTTCCTTAGTCGTTTGTTTTCTTTGGAAATACTTTTTCGTGGCAGCCACAGGTAGGAAGGAGGTTCAAACTGAGGGTGACAGGGATTTCTGGGAGGTCTTTGCAATAAGGTTTTGCAATGGTGTGTTTCTCCTAGAGGTTAAAGAGGTATGTATTTAAAGTGTTTTTTGAACTATTTATATGACTAATAACATATTCTCTCCATAAGTGAATTGAGAGGCACAAGTATTAGACATTTGTGAATTCTCAGTTTCACTGATAAAGCAAATAGCCTAGGTTTGCACTGTTAATACCATTTTGGGTTTTCTTATCTTATCAGAAAGTTTTTTCCCCCAAAATATTTTCACAGGGACAGAACTACAGAAATTTCAGTGCTGTGCTCAGCAGCAGTGCTTTCCAACTTGCTCTAGCTACTTTCTGTGTAAGAATTTTGCTTTCCTTTGGTTATGTATTTTAATTTGGGAATTAAGAGTGAGGGACATTCATGCTCTCAGTACTTAGGTTTGCTCCTTGTAAGATATCCCCAGTGTGGCTCTCAAGCCCATGCTCCCTGTTGAGGTGTGTAGGGAGGAAGGATCCAGATCCCATCTGAGCTGCCTCTCTCTGCTTTTCACCACAGATCAACTTTGTTTATGTGAAAGTTTATGTTTACATAACAATTTGAGTTTAAACACAAATATTTTCCACGGTGCAGCAAGCCAAATACATTACCTAACAATATTGTACAGCTATCTGCAAACATTTTGAAGCCTGAATAATATTTGCTCAGTTCAAGTTCAAGTTTAGACCATACTCACCAAGAAAAGTCAGATGAGGCTTTCCAGCATGGAAAAGCATCTTCATTTTCTTCCCTAATACAAACAGGAATGCTCATTCCAATTAATGTAGTCTTCAGAGAAAAATAAAATCTGTATATGAAATCTAATAGCACAGGTAGATCTGCAGGGATTAACAATATGAAGGAGAACACTGTCAGGCATGTAATGATATTTTTTGTATGTCTGCTACAGCTAATGCTTTTAATTGTATTTTCCAATTTAATTATAGTAGCCAAAGGCACGATGCACAAGGCAAATAAATGACAGGATCATTGGCATGTCCAAGTGCCTCTTCTCCACATAAATAAGGCAGACAGCAAATATGAGTTGAGAAAGGACATTGCTGTGTTGCAGTTTAATTCACTCAAGATTTCATCAAAATTAACTTTACACTGCAGGATGGAAAAACAGGCCTGGGAAATGCATTGAAAATGTCAGCAGGGACAGGATCCAGGGAATCCCCCTCCCACATCACCATTTCACACAAGTGTGGGAAGGCTTTGTCAGCAGAGGGACTATGGAGAAACAGGGTCAGACAGAGCATCCTGCTGCGTGCACTTCTCCATTCCCTGCGTGCCTGAGGTGCTTTGCTGAGAGATTCTTCAGTGATTACAGGTGCAATTGGTGAAAGGCTTTTGAAACAGAAAGGCATTCCTACCAACCTGACAGCAGCAACAGATTTAATCATCCATGCCCAGCTGGGTTTTTTAAGACATCAGCCCTGCAAATACAGTGAACTATCTCAGCACTTCCATCGGTGCTGCTCAGCTTGTTCTAATGTACCCAAGGAGCTGCAAAGAAATGATTTTGACTGTAAGCCCTTGAGGGCTAAGATTATCTTTATGGGCTTAGACAAATACACAAATACATTACCAGAGCTTTGTTTTTAAGTCCATCAGAGCTGAAAGGTGAAATACATCAAAAGACAAGTACTTATCCTTGACTTTTAAGTCAAGGAAGGTTTTCTCCTGTTTCACTACAAATCCAGCCAGAGTAAATAACTTCTAAACTGCAAGTAGTCATTAAACTTAAAACTCAAGGAACCCTTGGCAACTCTTCACCTGTTTTTTTTAAAGCATTTTTTGCTAACTGCAAAGGAAAGCATGTCTCTATTTGGCTTCTTCACAGATTATTTGGCCATCTACCCTACCAAAACCCTGCAGTGATACCATTGATCACATCCAGTTTTGGAAAGCCACGCTGTGTTGAGAAGAGTATTTCCAGGCTGTGAGCCATCAAATGAGCCTGTTCCTGCTGCAGTTCACGAGGCTTTTGCTGTGAATTGGAACCAGGGCAGGCCCACATCCAATGCAAGGTCCCAAAGACACTCACACACATTTCAAACCAAAAACCATCAGCTGTGAAAACAAAACATTTGGGGGAACTCCAGTCAGGAAGCAAGCTGCCAAAAGAATTATTCTCTGTTTACGTGGAGCTGTTTGCATTTCTTGTTTTGCTCTGTGGCTGGCCAGGGCTGGCCAGGTGAATGCACACCCTGGGAGGCAGTGGCAGCAAGCAGTGAGGGACAGAGCAGACCCCTGGCACCATCCATGAGCCACTTCCTTGGCTTTGCTGCAGAGTAAGGCTGCACCCTAACATTGCAGAGCATGTTCCTATAGACCCCTCACTGTACTCCTGAAGGGCATTTTCCCCCAATAATCCCATTAGCTGGGTAAGTCCCCAGAAAAAATTGTGCCTCTGGGATTCCTGCAGGGATCACTCCTCTCCCTGATATCTCAGTGCAGAGCTCTGTGTGTGTCTCTGTCTGTCTTCATCACCTGCACACTTACAGTTTTCAGTTCAGGTCAGTGCCACATCAAGCACTTATTCACAGTCAAAAAGGAGGTGTTAGAAGGCATTGAAGGCAAATGTGTTTATCCAGTACCAGTGATTTCATAACAAGAAAGTCACAGCAAGTCATGACTGGATTATCTCAGCTGCCAGCAGCACAGCCCAAGCTCAGTTCCCTCCACTCAGCACACTCACAGCACTGAACTGAGCCACAGCAGGGTTAAACTGCCTTGACTAGGAAGAAATGCTTCAGAAACATATATACACATATATATATGTGTGTGTTTTACATATATATGTTGGGGGTCTTTGTATTTTTATATTTTTTTAATATATATATATATGTTGGGGGTTTTTTGCCTTTGGAAAACTGGATTTCAAAAGTAGATACCACATACTTTACAAACCTTTGTGCTCCTTGAGGCACAAAGTTTCAGTCTGTGAAAGCATTCAGCTCCATGATATGACCACTGGCTGACCTTTCTGCTGGTGCTGCCTGTGTCAGGATAAAGCACAAATCCTTGTGTTGCTACACAGCTCTGTCAGCATTGATACTGCTGGGTGAAGAACTAGTGTCTTAATCTGAGCACAGCCTAAAGCCTTTTTATTTACTTCAGCTAAAGCTTCCTGCACATGAACATTTCTGCTCAAAAGATGAATATCTTGTTAGATAAATATCTAGGATTCCCCAACTCTTACACACTGCTCACTTTCTCTTACCCTTACAAGTCTTTTGCACTCAGCTGTAACAGCTGAGACTCCACCAAAATGCAGAAACTTTTAAGTGAGAAACTTTGGAAGCCAGAAGGATATTATGCCTTCTACTGACATAAAGCTGAGAAAAAGAAAGAGGTGAATACAAGATGTTTTACAAGAACTGCCAATTCTCCAGGTCAGTGTAAATACACATTAGACATACACCACACCTCTGCTCCAGGCTGTCAGAAACAGGAAAGTAACCTGACAAGAATTTTGGAGAGCTACATGAAAAGTATTTGCCTGAAAAATGAACATTCTCCACATTAAGAAAGTGTAATAGCAGGTGTCCTACAGGCAAAACACATATTTGTCTCAGCTACAGCAGAACTTCACGTGGGGATGAATGTCATCCAGAGTATTCAAAGCACAATAAATCAAAGTTTTGCTAAGTGCACCAAACCAGGATTACCATACACTGGGAGGAATTAGATCTGTAATATACACATATATTTAAATGTCTGTGTGCAGGTTTAGGTAGGAGTGTGCATTCATTCATGGAATAGAATAGACCTCTACATCCATACAGACAGGGAGACTGCAGGTCTGGAGCAGCACCAAGTTCAAGGATTATCTGATTAGTAGGGTTTTTAAGCAGTCTGCTTCTCTTTACATTCCTTCCCTGTGGAAAGAAAGCAGAGGTTTGTCAATGCCTCAATAATTCAATCTTAAAAGACAATTCCCACAAAATGCTCTTCAGGCATGAATTCTCCAGAATCCTTCTGTGAGGGATTGGGTTATGGGATTTCTTCCACCTGGTGGTCTCCTTGAAGACAGAGACACAGCATGGGAGAAAAGCAGAATAATGAGGCTAAAGTCAGAGAAGAAACGTGACCAAGAGCCCAGCCTGGCTCCCAGGAGCTCTGAGCTGGCAGATCTCCCCGTGGTTCACATCTCCACCTGATTGATGCAGTCTACAGAAACACCTCCTCAGAAACAGGTGAATAATCAAGCACAGATTCACTCATGTTTGCTCCTTAAAAAAACAAAGGTAAGTTTTCAACCCTAAGAACTCCAGTAAGAAGTTCAGAGCTTAGGAAAACCCAAAATCAAGGGTAAGGAACACAAGATGTTTTCTCTTCAGACCTGTGGGGACCTGTCAGTTTGTCGCTCTGGGGAGGGTGCAACCATCAGCCAGATTTACCAAGAAATCATGAGGTCAGAGGGAATTTTCTTCTCTCTCCATGCACTCCATCATGAGCAGTGACAAGAGAAGAACTCTGGCCCATGGAGGCTGTTACAGCAGGGCTGGCTCTAAGGAGGCCCATGAGTAGAGCAAATAACTCACAAATTTCTATCTAGTGGGAGGCAGGAGAGCAGCAGCAGCTGCAGGGTCACACTGCAGACACATTCCTCAGTTGTTGTGTGCTGGCAAGTCATGCCTAAACACAGAGCATCACTGAACTGCTTTGTTCACATGAAAATCTGGAGTTAAAACCACTGTGTGACCTCAAGGATCAAACACAGCCTAAGTCAGACCCACAGCAAGTCAGGATTGCAAGCAAGGAATGCAGCCTACCCTTCAGGCCCCTCCTTTGGTTTGCAAAGTGCAAATGAAGCAGAAGTTATTGGGTTTTTCCTACAAATCTTGCCTCTGGAACATTTTTTAAATTTGGGGAACTTCCTGTATTGCATTTTAAGAACCATACTCTGGCAGTCAGCTGGCTGGCAATTCTGCCTCTCTCTGATTGAAGGGGAGACTTCAACAGGAGGAAAGAGTTTATTAAACTTATTTTGATGTGCTTCAGCTTCTTTTCTGAGTAAGGCAATGATGGCTCTGTGAATCACTGTCTCTAACCTTCAAAAAGATGCAGTGCTGAAGAAAACTGACTCATTTTAACACAGGGAAACTTAAAATCTAAAGCAACTTGGTGAGTGGTTGCACCCAGCTTCTCCCAGCTGTTTTTCCTTGTGGCAGACCCAGCATTAAAATTCCCAAAGGCAACATAATCAACCTGACTCCTGCAACTTTGGTGTTGCTCTTGTTCCTCCTGCAATGTTGTTTTTGATGTTGGGAATTAGAGACCAGCCTCAGGCACATATGAGCATACCCTATGTCATATCATGACATAGGATATGCTCATATCAGCCTCAGGGACATATGACATATCAGCAACACTCAGAGATGGAGCATTGCTGGTCCATACTCAGACTTCAATTTGGGTGGCATCAGCACTGGTCCTGTTTGGGTGGGAGCCTGTTCCTGCACAGCACTCAGTTGGCTCAGCTCTTTCAGAACAAAAAAGTGCCTCCTCAGCAGGCTGGAAGCAGTGCTTGGAAAGGGAGTTTGGACAAACCTTGTGTTCACATCTGCTTTTCTTTGTGGACTATGAAAGAGAAAAATAGAACTATGAAAGACACATTGTAGTAGGACCCATGAGGGGTAATTTTAGATGATTAGCTTTAAAGCGTTTATAATATAGTGTAGCTAAAGCTGATAGTGTATCGTAATTAAGAAATAGTTAGCTTCTGATTGTGATAGTGTGAATTATAACATCTGTATTGTCTCACCCTTCTCAAAAGACTAAAAATAGAATAAAAGTTTTTTAAGTGCCTCTCAATTACCCATCTCTAAGTAAAAAAAATATACATAATCCAACATTTCTGCATACCAAAAAATCTCCTCTTGCCAGCTTCCATCTCGTGCTGCTGTAGCCCTCCCCCAGACCCTGCCCCCAGCCCTTCCCCTGCTTAACTCAGACATGCTGAATTCTTTGTGGGAATCTTCAAAGAGCCTCAGTGCTTTGTCCTGCTAATGATTTGCAAGCATATTATCACAGCAATCTCTGCTATCCCCGTGCAGCTATTGTGCTCCCCGGAGAATAAAAGCCTGTGTAGCCTTGCAAGGCAAGCACAAGAAAACAAACAGATTACTACTATAAATATTCAGGACATATCTGATTTGCCGTACCTGCAAACAACCGTTTCCAGGACTGTGTGTAATTATTTCTGAAAGAATTTGATTCACTCTCAATGTGACCACAGGTGGCAAATCTGAGCCTGCAGGAGGCATGGCAGCCTGGGGAGAGCTGCTGTGCATCCCCAGTTACATTTTCAAGTGTCCCTGAGACCATTTCCGTGCAAGGAAATAGGAAATGAACAAAATAAATAGGCTATGTATAGGGTATTTCAAAAATATTTCCAACTTCCTCCCTGTCAATATCTTGCAAGGACACTGAAGTTGCTGTTTCATAACCAGCTGCTAAAAAAGAGCTCTCTAAAGAACCATCCTTTGCTTGTGGACACTTTAGAAGTTTTAAGTGATAGAAACTAAACAGCACCTCTTTCATGTGACAGAGGGGCAGTGGTGGTAAATGTTTCTTAAGAAGACACATTGTAAAAAAGAAAATAAAGTTATGTACACAGCTGAGCACTCTTTGGGTACTCACTGCCAACAGCTCTTGGGCAATCCTAACAACCTTTCTGTCTGCACAGCACCTCACTGTCTTCTCTCTCCTGAATTTAAATAAAATCTGCATATCTATCAGCAATCAGCAGAACAGAAGCACTGGCAAACACCATGAGCTCTACAGCAGCCTCACTGCTCAAATAAAGATGGCAATTTCACTCTCCAGTCTCCTGTTTCAGCTGATGACAGTGAGTTCAAAGGTCTGATGTTAAAAATGCACATCTACCTCATGGCACTCACAGCCAAGCCAGAGGTGCTTCCCCAGGTCCCCTCTGAACCTCTGTGAAAGGTTTCACATGGGACAAGGATCTGTCCTTTGCACAGCTGGCTGCAATAACAGCAGCACATTTTTACACCTGTTTTTGGCTGAGGTGGAAGGAAGTGTGTGAGGGGCTGACCCACGTTCCCAGCCTGTTCCCCAAAGGGCAGCTCAGGCCACAGCTTTGGATGGGATTTCTCACCCTGCCCTGCACCCCCTCAGCTCTGGAGGAGGTCAGCAAAACCCTCCATGTGACCACACTACAAACCTGTCTGGGGAACTGAATTTTTCTTTCAAGCACAGTGAAAAGAAGTGGGAGCTGTAAATGGATATTGCCAGTGGGATGGTCAAACCACCAGTTCAGGGAAGCTGCTGGTGATTTCTCTCCCTGGCCCCAGGTGAGACCTCCCAGAGGCACAGGCTCTCAAACACTTCAAGACGTAGCAGAAACTGAAAACAAGTTCAACTGAGGTTCTGTGGGCCACTCCCTTCAGAGAACCTTCAATCTAAACATTGGGCTTCTAGTAACAAAGAAAACGAAAACAAAACCAGTGACAATCTCACAATAAGCATTGTATTTTTCATCAAGAGAATTTTCCTCCCCAAAATGAGTGTTACACAACAGGTAGGATTTTCATCACTAATCTCTTTGACAGGAAAGTTTCAGCAGCCTGAAAAACACTCATTAAAAATTTATGGCAGGGGTCATGAGAAAGCCATTCATCGACACTTTCCCTGCAAACTATCAACTTAAAAGAAGCCAGTGCCTGAAGATGAGCCAGATCCAACCTCTGCACAGACAAAAACACTCTGGAGTGGCTCAGACTGGTGCTGGATGGGCAACTGAGCCCTGAGCAACTCATGGCCAGGGACGGGTCATCCTCACCCTGGCACTGGCTCCTACCCCTCCTTGCACTGCCCTGGGCTCTCCACTGAGCCAGTCCTTGCTGCCAGCCCACTGGAGAACTTTCTGGTGTTTTGTGGGAATAATGAGCTGTACTGGCTCTGATGAGCACCAGAGCTGACCCAAGGTAAGCAGCAAGACCATGGAGTCAGGAACAAGATGGGAAGGAGGCAGAAGTGGAGCTTTTTTCCTTTGAGAAGGGGTGAGCACACCTCACTGCATCTCCCAATCATCTCTCCCCATCTGTGCCTTGCCTGGATAGATGGGCATCAGATCCTACCCAATTATCACATCCTGCTTCTGCCACCAACAACACCAACAGAGGGGGGAAAGTTATTTTTGTGAAGCCATATCATCATCTCCTGGTGTTTTCCTTTCACAAGACTGCATCTGCATCATTAAGGCCCATTTTTTAAAATGAAGCCCTTGAGTCACACACTAGAGCAACCTCTGTGCTGGGAATGGCTTTTTGCTGCCAGTGTGATATTTCTTCTTTAGGTGATTAAGGACCTAATTGTCCCAAATATGTTACTGGACAGGTGCCTCAGAGAAGACAAGGAGATAAAGTTCACCTGCCTCCACAAGTCATAAAAAAGGGCATATTATTTTAAGCCAAGGCAAGTCCCATGGTAATTATTTTAATTAAGTCAGTTATGGAGGTATTTTTACAATCTAACTGTGCTGAAGAACTATTTTAGTGGCTGATTGCAGTCATCAATTATTTTTCAAGTGCCCTTTGGTGATAATTCTTCCTAGTTATACAGAAATTACTTTTGCATTTATTATTTTAACGTAAACATTCTGTTGCAATAGTTCCAATTTTTTCTTATCCCAAACCCCACAAATGCTTAACCAGCTGAACCAGTATATACCCAAATTCCACATTTATCCAGGAGATTAAAGAAGTGCAAAATCTTACCCAGTCAGGTAATATTGGGATGAAACATAGACCACAAGCTGTACTCCTGCATATTTATTTATGTCCATGCAGCTTTAATAAGGGCCCAAACATCTTCCCCAGCCTTCTCCAAGGCAATCTCATGTGCTGATTCTGCCAAAACAAGTTTCCATCACTCATCATTAAAAAGTTTTGAAATTATTTTACTATTGCAAAATACTTTACAGGCAAGTCTGGATTACTTTAATATCTGGGCTTATGTTTTGAACCCCCAGCACATACTTTTGATCTATTTCCAATCTTTCCTCCTTCACCATAAAATCTGATAATTTTTTTTCTCTTTTTCTTATTACATCTACAAATCTTTATGAAATGAAAAAAGGTCACCTATATCAAGACGATGTCATCACATGGACATTTTCTTTGGCAGAAAAACTGGTTCAAGTGTTTCCTTCCATTCTTCTCTGCCCTTATGCAGTTTGTTGTGATTTTAGCTGTGTCCCTGTGGAGGTTTGCTGTTGCTGCTGTGAAAAAAACTCCTAGAAAAGCCAGAATGAACATAAACCTTTTAAAAAGTGGGGGTGGGGGTTTTACCCTTCCTCTGTGACCTGTCTGCACAGTGGCCCCACTGATCACTGTCCTGGTCCAGCACAGCACAGGAAGGGCAGGCCATGCTCTGCAAAGGACACCTTGGGACAAGTGGCTGCAGGAGGCTCTGGGGGGCTCAAGGCTCGTCTGAATTTGGGGATTTGCAAAGCCTCAGACCCACTGCAGGTCCCTTGAGCTCACCCTTGGTGCCTCCTCTCCCTCCCTGCAAGGACCTGGTGTCTCCTTTTCCCAGGTCAGAAACTGTGGCTTCACCAAGGACAGTGCACAATTTGAGGGGTTTGTGTTTCCAGATGTAGGAAGATCCACCTGGAATCCCCATCCAAAGTGAAAGGGATTCCTGAATCCTGTGCACTCTGCTCTGAGGGGACACCTGGAACAAAGAAGGATGATATTTTGATAAGCTTCAAAGCACCTCTGTGCAATCTCATTCCTTCCAAGTGTTGACATCTTTTATTTTCAAATGGCCTTTGTTTGCATTGCCTGAATCCCCTTTCTGGTTAATGGATTACTTAAAAACTCTGTGACCAGAGCACTGCCACCATTGTGACAGACAAACAAGAGTAATGACTGAACAAAGCTGGAAACAAGTTGGGAATGTTTTGACTGCTAAGATATGAAAAAGTCTCCAGGGTTTGTTTGGTGGAGTACTCCTGGATTAAGTTACATCTCAGGGCTAGCTAAAAATTAATGGAAAAAGACAAGTGGTTACCCAGAATAAGCAAATTGATTGCTGTGTAGCAATCACTAACTCTTAAACCAGTGGGGTTTTTCTTTAAAAAAATTGTTATGTTCTCTACTTCAAGATTTTTTGCATTAGATATTTATTGTCAGGAGCTTTTTTCAACTTCCTTCCCAAGTAAATAAGGAAATCCTGCTTCAAAGAGCCCAGGGAAGTGTTTGTTATAAGAGTTTTTTTCCCCAGACATTCAAGTTCTTGTTTTGCCAATCATTGTTAGCTTAAGTTGAAAATCAGTGAGAAAAGGCAAAAAAATCTTGGTCCAAGAGTAAATATACTGCAGCTCGATGAAGTACACTGCAGTTTGCTTTTAGTTAAAGATTGTTATAGTTATAAATGTCTTTTTTCAGTTAAATATTACACAACTTTGGAGTAGGAATGATGAAACTGAAATGCATACAGACCCAGGAGACTGCTTTGCTTTCAATTCTTCCTTGAGTTCTTTCTGTTTACTGAGTTTCAGTGCTGTACAAGCACAAGAAAACATCTTGCATCTGGCAAAATTTGTCATCTGTTGTCAGCTCCAGATCAATTCAGTCTCTGTTCTTGTGGCAAACGGGCCCAGAGCTGTTTCAATGCTCTCTCTGGCAGTAGCTATGGGGAATTTCTGCTCCCTGGCCTATAACCACCCATTTTCAGGACAGAAGGCAAATGCCTTCACAGTTAGGTGTCTCTGAAAATACCAGCTGCTCACCAAAGATGCACATACACAAAATTCTAATATAATGCCTGCAATTGACATTTATACGATACCTTTATAACAAAAAGCTCATGGATTGTTTATCACCACCTGGTGTGATTGGTATATTCACCACAGCCAAGGCTTCCTTCCAGCTTTGCTCCAACTGACTGATAACCCAGCAATCCACCAGTAATTCAAGTTTCCCTGTCTTGCAGGGGTGTTTCCCACTCACAAGCCTCTGGAGAGTCCAGTCTTGTAGCCTAGACGAAGATGTGTGACAGTTGTGTGACTGATGTTTAGCTGAGAAGAAGCCTCAAAAAAAAGTAATTTCTCTTCATACACTGAGAACTGGCACCCTAAAGAGAAATATTTGTCTTCCATTTTCAGTGGAGTTTAAAAGCACTTACCTATGGTAAGGAAAATCAAATTTCATGCTTCAAGGCTTAAGTTGATTGCATAGCAAGGCTTTGCTGTGTGCCAGGGACAATTCTTCCTCTCTGAAATGATGTGGAGGCAGATGGATGTGTTATGGATCTCCTCCCAGCTCCCTCCAGAGCTCAGACTGCAATGAACCTATTTCAACATTATTACTTTGTTAGTGTAACACAGAAAAACACTTAAGAGCATCCATAAACATTCCCTTTGCTGCCCTGGCCAGGGAGCATCATCTAGATCTTCACACACGACTGGCTGTGTGAATAGGGAGCAGCCACAAGGCCAGGTCCAGCTTTGGAATCTGCAGCTGAAAGGAGTTGCTGCTACCTCAGGGATCTCTGGGGAATACAGGAAAGCAGAGCCATGTATCTCTTATAGTGAGCACATATATTACTGCAATTATAAAGTTGTTTCAATTCTTCCAAAGTGACGTATTTAGAAACTTTTCTTTAACCGAAATCTCTCACTCTAAGACAAACAGAAATGTTGAAATGTCAGACCTTTCTGTCAAACAGAAACTCTCTGTTGTGGCATTCCATATTATGGTTAAAGCAATGACACAGAAATGATTTGTGTTAAAAAATCCCCACTGTGAGAAGGAATCTTGAGTCAGGGCACCTTAGTGAAACCAACTGTGTTCATTCAGTGAGTAACATGTGGGTGATTTCCTGGCATGTGCCTTCTGACAATCCTGGTGCTTGAGAGCTAAAATAGTAGTTTTGGGACAAGGGGGAATGGCTTCAAACTCAAAGAGGACAGAATTAGATGGGATATTGGGAAGAAATTCTTCCCTGTGAGGGTGGGGAGGCCCTGGCACAGGGTGCCCAGAGAAGCTGAGGTTGCCCCATCCCTGGAAGTGTCCAAGGCCAGGCTGGATGGGGCTTGGAGCAACCTGGTATAGTGGAAGGTGTCCCTGTCTGTGACAGAGGTTGGAATTGGATGAGCTTTATGGTCCCTTCCAACCCAAATCATTCAGTGATTTTATGATACTAAATTTCTCAAAGAGCGATTTCATAATGAGCACACTGAAAGGACAATGTACTTTTGGAAGTGCCCCTATATAACTGACAAAAGTTAAGAACAAGCTTAAAATACATACAGTATATTAAGAGGCAAAAGGTATTTATTTCTAGTTAAGTATTTTCTTATCCAAATGGAGAGATCCAAAGTTAGATCTGGAGTACTGTTTCTACAGCACTTTTGGACATGATTGTGGCATGTCCATGCAAGATATTACCTGTTCTTTTAATCAAATCCACTGCTTGGGGCATTAAAAGAGAGATGTCAGGTCTGACTAACTTAATTCATAGGTGTGTTTTGGGCCAGCCAAACCACTGCAGTTGTTTGTGTAACACCACAGGCCAAAAGGGTATTGCAGTGATAAATAGATCCTGATCCCATGGCAGTACAAATCACAATGAACTCATGGATTTGAGATGGTTTACAACTGACAGTAAAAGATGAGGTTGGAATCTGGCACAGGGACCACAAAAGAATGAACAAACTACAGGAGCCAGATGTGATCTGTCCAGCACATGTGCAGGGCTCAGGAGCACACTGCAAGGTTAACCCTGTGCTGCCTGCTTGACTGGGGGCTTGGCAGGCTGAGGCTGTTCATGACCTGAAGCTGAGTTTTGCAGTGCCCCAGAGATGAACTGGGAGGCTGCAGAGGTGGGCAGGGACTTCCCCTTCCCATCAGGAAGGAGAGGAGACAGGAATTTCCCACTGTGCTCTCAGAGCCAAACATTCAGCGGGAACTGATAGCTGAAGAAACAAAACCCAAAACAAGAGCAGCATTCAGGTGACTGCGGGGGGGAAGGAGGAACAACTTCATTCCCCCTCTGCAGCTACAGCACTGTAATTATAAGTTAAAAAAAAAAAAAAAAAAAAAATTAAAAAAAAAAAAAAAACAGGACTGTGGTGACAAACACAGTCCCCTTTGCTGCTCAGCAGAGAAATCCAAAGTCCAGAACTGCTACATACTCTGCTTTGTCTGCCTTGGAAAACATCTCTGAAAACATCTTCATCACCCCTATCCCTGCAGTCACTGAGGAAGGAGAACTGAAGGACTTTTCCAAGTTGCTTTTCCTTCATTTTTGCATTTCCAGAGCCATTTTACATTGCCACTGATCACACTGCTGGGGACACGTGTGGCAGGTCCCCTGCCAGGCGTTTCCTTGGCATGCCAAGTGACACATCCTAAGTCCACAGAACAGATTAAGGTTTATCTCTAATTAAATGGCTCACCAAGTAAGCTTTAACAGGATGAAGGAGCCAGGAAGTATCAGAGGTTTTGTTGGGGAGATGCCCTGGTCTGGCACTACACAAACACATGTGACTTGCTTCTGTTGAAAAGCATGATAACATCCTTCCTTCCCACTGGAGTCAATGCTCCAGCTATACTGTGGCAAAATTTCATCAAAACACTCTTTTTCAGCTCTTGAAACCTTTCAAACAAATTATTTTCGCTATAAATTTAAACTTATTAGAGACAAAAATTAATTTTGCAAGTGAGCATTGAAAGCAGCAAAGATTTTCCAGTGCATTCAATGCTGGAAATGGCTGGAGTTTCACTTTTGCAATGTCCTTTGTCAGTGTGGAAAAAAACCTGTTTGTCATTGCATAATGAAATTTTCAGATATTAAATCTTTAGAAAGATAGTGAACTCATAATTTTTTGAAGAGATGGATTTGAATGTGCTTTTCCCATTGATCTTTTCAAATCATACTTCATTTATTTTGCCTTGCAAGATTGGCACTAATTAAATAAGTATTAAATCAGAAATACCCATGGAGGATTTAAAATGACAGGTCAGAGGGACACAGACTGTGCCTGATAGAGGGCAACAAAATAAATATATGGGTCTTGAAGAAACTCTTTCCTCAATTGAGGAAAGAGTTAACCTATAAAATATTTCTGTTAAAAAGAGAAAGCCATGAAGGGCTGGAAAAACACAGAATTCAAACCAGCTCCTGATGTGACCAAGAATGCTCTGTAGTGCCCTGGCTCTCTTTCACTTTTGTTTCTACTCTTTTTGAAAGGAAACTCCTTCAAATCAGATAGGACCTCCCTAAACAACTAGAATGAATAGGCACAAAAACTCCCTTCAGCAGGCAGGGGTCATCATCCAAGTTAGTTTGTCACTTTTGAACTGATTCTACTTACCTTGCCACTTTTGAACTAGTTCTAGTTACCTTGCCACTTTTGAACTGGTTCTTCACTTACGACTCTCTCAGGTGAAATTTCATTTGTAGGAATTTATGAACCTTGATAAAGAAAAAGGAGTCCAAAGTGTCACAATGACTTTCCTGAGAAGTCACAGGAGGGGACCATGAGCTCACTTTTGAAGGATGTTAATCTTCTCCATCTGACATGTGTGTTGGAATTACCCAGATCTGAACTGTTTTGGCACACAGTTTGAATGTCTCAAAGAGCCAGACAAATAAACTGTCTGCTGCCACACTGAACAGGGATTGGAGGGTTATTTTGCTACATTATGATGGAAGAAAAAAAAATTTCCTCTAAATGCTTGAATACAATGCAGTTACACTCTCTAAAGGTGACCTCAATAGTCAGGGGAGATTAAGAGATCTTTTAATTTTCCCCTGTAATTATACTGAGATCTCCCACCTGCATCCTGGCATTCAGGTGTTGAACAGGAGCCAAAATTTCATCACATCCTGCAGCCAACAGCACAGAAATGACTGACTCAAATGTCTGCAATTGAATTTGAAATCCCAGTTTTCCATGGCTGCACTGCCAGCAGATTTATTTTGTAAATCTGCTGATTTAAAAGTGTCAGCAGATAATTATGGATTTGCTTACAACCCAGTCTGTGTGAGGTGAAGGTGTCAGAATAGGGGAAGTTAATGGACACATCCTAAAGCATGGACATGCCTTTGGAAAACATCTATCTGGGCACAACAGTTTGGAGAAAAGCTTGCAAGAAGGAGCCTCAGAGGTTTGGAAACCAACCAAACGAACCCCAAAGTACCATTAGGTAAAGAAAGCTCAAAATGTACCTGATGTCGATGTACTGTGGCAATAATCATGCCATGATCAGGGTGTAGAAGCACTGGCAGCACTGGGAAGGAGCTCCTGACACCAGTCATTGGTCACAAGCACCTTTCTGTGATGTTCCAGCCCCACAGGAGAAGCTGCAGAGGATAGGACACAGACAGGGCAGCTCAGGAAGGACATGGAGCTATTGGAGTGAATCCAGATGATGCTCAGAGGGCTGGATCATCTCTCCTGCTGGATCTTTCTCCTGGTGAAGAAAGGCTGAGAAAATTTGGTTTGTTGAGCTAAAGAAGACTCCAGGGTGTCCTCAATTCAGCCTTTCAGTACTTGAAGAGAGGTTTATAAAAAATATGAAGACAGACTTTTTATCAGGACTTTCTTCAGTAGAACAAGGGGTAATGGTTTTAAACTGAATGAGCGTTGATCCAGATTAGGTGTAAGAAAGAAATTATTTTCAATAAAAAGAGTTTTACACTTAGGGTGGAGAAAAACTGGCACAGGTTGCCCCGAGAAGCTGTGGATGCTCCATCCCTGGAAGTGTCCAAGGCCAGGCTGGACAGGGTTTGGAGCAACCTGGGACAGTGGAAGGGGTCCCTGCCCATGGACGAGCTGAACTGTAAGGTCCCTTCCAACCCAAACCAATCTAAGACTCTATAACACAACCTGGACTCAGAAAACTCCGTGCCTCTCTGCGCACATAACCAGAGCCTTAATGCCTTTAAAAAAACCAGCTTCCACCGTTCTCAGGTGGCAAACTCCCAGAGAGTTTGCTCGGAGATGCTCCAGCAGTGCTGAGAGCGGTCACCGCCCATCCTCGCAGCGATCCCTTCGCACTGCGGGGAGGCGGCACCTGGGAGGACAGCCCGGGAATTCAGGGCGGGAAGGCAGGGAGAGCAAGGAGCCAAGGAGAGCAGGGCTGGAATACAGAGGAGGGAGGGCACGGAGGGAGCCAAGGAGGCGGAACAGAGCGGAGGAGGGCACGGCCGGGGAGGATCCCTCACGGTCCCTCCCGCCGCCCCGCCCGCTCCATGCCCCGGCGGGCGGGTTGAGTGCGGGGCTGCATTCGCTGCGGGACAGCGGCCCTGAGCCCCCGCAGCCCCGGAGCCCCCAGCCCGGCCCTGCCAGCCCCAGGATGCTGCCGGCGGGCGGCCCCAGCCCCGCGCAGACCTGCGGGGCCGTGCTGGTGGCCGCCGTGCTGCTGCAGTCCCTGTGCGTGGCCGTCACCTTCCTGTACTTCACCAGCGAGCTGCGACAGGTCTGTGGGGGCTCGGCGGCGGGGGGAGCCCCGGGACAGGCCGGCTCGCTGGGCGGGGGGATCCCGCAGCACCCCCGGGCCGGGCCGGGCTGAGGCCCCGCGGACAAAGAGCTCCGCTCGCTGCTCCCCTTTGTCTGCAGCGGGGTGTGCGCGGGGAGAGAGCTCAGAGCCGGGGCTGATACGGAGTGTTAGAGTCGAGAAAACAAAGCTCGGCGCTTTGGTAGGAAATGTGTTTCCCATTAGAGCGCGAATTCGCCGCCTCATCACTTTTGCGGTGCGGGCGGGCTGGGTGGGATAGGCGCTGTCTGTCAGCTGCACCGCCGAGCAGGACTGGGGAGAGCTCGAGTGCCCCGTGGATGCTTCCCGTAGGATAATGCAGGGTTTCAGGGCTGTGACTAATCCTAAAGGAACTGCACCAGACGGCGAACACCGCTGCATTCGCCAGAATAACTTCTAAAGAATCCATTGTGTAGTCTAGATGCTTTGGTCTCCTTGCAGCCCCCCTTGAGGCCTGGCAGCTGCTGCTTAACTCTTCACTCTTCTTGGGAAAGATCATTTACACTCCAAGAAGGTTGAATTTAGCTGACAGTCCAATGTGTGTGGTCCTGCTTTCAAGGACCCTTGTTACTCAGGGTTTCCATGAGTGTCTTACCCTAAATTGACTGTCCTGCTGTGCCTGGATGTTTCTACTCCTGGCACACAGGTAAACCTACCTGCAGGTAAGTGTTCTGTACATCTACAGCTTCTGAAAATATTGCATAAATGTAAGTTACTGTTGTTATAAGCACTCAGTAGTGCATAATTAATTACATTATTAATAATAATGTAGATATGCATATTATGCAATAGATGCATTTATTCCACATTAGATTAAATAGGTGGAGTCTTCTGAGATGTCAGAATTCTCTGTGAGGCAAAGGGAGTGTTCTGCAATAGGAGCCAATGCTCATGCTTTCAAAATGTATAAAACAGATTTTCCTGCTGAATTTGTAGCTGTGGCTGTCCAATGGGGGAGTCACAGAAATGTGCTCATTTTGTGAAATCAGGTTACATGATTGCTAATGAAGAAAAATATATAAAGGCATCCTTCTTTCCTTATGCACACAGTACAGAGTCCCTTGCTAGTACACGTGCCAATGTAAGTAATAAGTAACCACACTTATCTTTTCCTTCCTTCTATTCAAACATATACACCTGGGACACAGCCACATCCCAGAGACTTGCCCAAAATACAACTCACAGTTCCTGAAGAATAGCAAGCCTGCATTTGTTGTGAAGGAAGAAACCAGAGATATGCTGGACTGCAAAAAAGGTTGCTGGCTCTGGAGGGGGTACCTTAACCACATATTTCTGCATCTGCCATCTGGTGCACAGTAAACAGGAAAAAACTCGTCTAGGCACAGCCTGCTACTCCACATCCACGTGGTACACGTGGAATAAATCTCTGTAGATAAACTGTGATTTTTATCTGCACATTTTTCTTCCCTCTTTTTTGTTCACAATACTGCATTTCTACACCTTCACCAAATCACTGTGGCTGCACACACTGCAGGTATTTCTATCTTTACAAAAAGCATGCTGGTAACTAGCAGGGTTTGTCCACTACAGCTGTAGTAACCTGATGAGGACTAGGAGTATGACATTTGTGTAACTGCTTTGCTTTAAGAGGAAGTACTAGGACAATAAAGTTCTTATGCTTCAGGATAAGGACTGCAAGGAAAACAACCTCAGGCTTCCTCCTATTTCAAGTCCAGTAACCACTCCTAACATAGGAGAGAGGCTCTACAAGATAAGATTCCTGCAGGAGTTGTGTCCTCAAAGGGTTCAGTGCTGCAGGTAAACCTCATTTGAGTAAATCTTACAAGAGAAATCCGAGTCCCTCGGTTCCATCATGTGCTGCTGCAAGGTTGCATTCCCTGAGGTTTCAAACTGCATACAAAGAAAGGTTCTAGTGCCAGGAGAGTGAAGTTGTTTTGAGGAAAAGTGAGCAGGTGAGGTGGAAGCAGAGGCACAGGGCTGTTTGCTCCCAGATGGGAGGGCAGAGCTGGGAACTGAGCTGTGACAAGTCTGCAAGAGAATAAACAGTAACCTCACAACTTGCTTATGTCTGGCTTTTTATCTTAAACTCGTCAAACTACTTTTTTATAGAAGCTCATTGTGTAGTTAAATGGGTCAGAGCCAGTAGTTTTACCTTAATGAGCACATATTATTAATCACTTGGAGTTCTTGAAACCTGATTTAGAAATACCGCTGCACTCCTTGGCAAGGACACAGAAACCCTCACAAACACTTTTCCTTCTGCTGCCTCCAAAATACATCATTTCAAGTACTAGCTGAGGCTCAGTGGAATCTGCTGCTGCAAACTGAAGGTGGGACTTGAAGGGGGTGAAATCTCCTGCCCCTGTAGCAGGAAATCTCTTCCTAAACACCTTTGTTTTCTAATAGCCAGGAAAGGCATGGAGAGTGAAGGAGAATATTTACCTATTGCTTTCAATACCCCAGTCTCAAGGACAGCTAAAAAAACCCTAAAATTGGTGCTTGTAGGAAAAAATGCATCTGTTTAGCAAAGCAAACCAAGCTTCTTTAACACAACAAAAGAGTGAAATTTAAATGCTGCTGCCAGGATTCCATCTGAATGCTTTGCATGTTTCTTGCTGTTCTCTCCAAGTTCCCGGAGTGCTTTGCTGGCTGCACAAAGCAGACCAGTGTGTGGCTGCTGCAGCAGGAGCCCAGGTCATAACAAACAAGGGCTGCTCTCAGGTCCTGTGCTCCCACACTAACCAACAGCGCCAGCTGGAGTCGCGTCTGCAGGGAGCTCTGAGAGATTTCCACCAGGAAAACCCTCCCAGTCACATTCCCTTGGAGCCAAAAGGAGTTTTGCCAATCTCTTCAGTCTTTGCAGAAAACAAAAATGTTTTCTCCATGACTAGAGGAGATAGATATTTGATATTTTCATGGCAAAAACATCTAGCATTATAATTTTATTTGGACTCAAATGTCATCTCTGTTGTCTGGACTATTAGAACAAATGACATTAGGAGACAGCCCACACTAGATATGGGGAGGATATGGTACAGATATATATAACAGCAAAGGTCTGGATTATAAATGTAATTGGCAGAAAATACAGCATAGAAAATACTTTTTAAGTTCTAGTATTTGATTTGATCATCAATAATCTGTCTAATATTGAATTTAATCCTCAATAATCTTGTCTAAAGAAACGTTTCTAATGCAGAACTAGAGAATCTAAAGAGTTTCCAACATCAAGGATTTGGGTGTTGAATTTTCACAAAACCTATTAAGTTGAATACTGGATACTGCATTTATGTCCATGCAGATAATGCAAACATATTTTTGCATGTGAGGTATGCCCTCATATTTAAATATGTCACATCAGGATGAATTAGATCTTCTTGTTGTTCATATACTACTTGCACCATACTTTAGAGAAAAGTGTGTTTCTTAGCAGTTAGTGAATGTAGTGACATACCACAGCTGCAAACAGCTGGATGAACAATGCTGGCTTTTCCCTGTGCTGCAGCTGCAGGACTCGTACTCGAGGAGCGGCATCGCCTGTCTCACCGGGGAGGAGATCGGCGCCTCCCTCCAAAACCTGGAGCTCATCGAGGGTGAGGACAGAGAAGCTGATCCCTGCTGGAAAGTCAAGTGGCACCTGGGAAAGTTAATTAAAAAGGTATTTGGGAGTAGTGTGCTTGGTGTTGTTACAGCCGGAGGAATCCTAACAGCAGAATAAAGGAGGCTCAGATTGTTTTATTGCAGAGCAATGGTCAGGCCTCAGCTCCAGCTCCAGTGCTTGCAGTGAAGCAAAGGGAAAAACAACCCATAAAAGTGGTTTCACTGCATTCAGGAAATACTAAAGCAAAGACTATCAGCTTTTACTAAGCAAATTCCAGTGATGGGTTGGCTTATCTGAAATACCTCAGGGTAAAGGGTTTCTGCCTGACTATAC